ATATATATATATATATATATATATATATATATATATATATATATATACTGTACGCACACATTACGTTACATTACCCGAGTAGGTTTTCACACTATTAATTTACTTGTACTTGAGTAAAGTGTCAACAGAGTAACTGCACCTTTACTTGAGTATGTTATTTTAGTACTCTTCACCCCTTAACAAAATCAGAGACATGGGCAAACATTTTCAAGCCTTTTCATCTTCAACAGCAGGTGATACATGTTGTTTGGCTTCAACAGATGAACTGATGACAGCGTTGGTCAGATTTGTGTGTCTGTGTGTTTACTCTGTAGATTATAAACTCCTGGGCATCCTGAAAAGGCAGTTCCCCACTGTACCGATCGTCGGACTGACAGCCACAGCAACATGCAGCGTCCTGAAGGACTGTGAAAAAATCCTGTGTCTCTCTCGGCCAATCACACTTTCTGCCTCTTTCAACAGAACCAATCTCTATTACGAGGTGTTTATGGCCACACATTCCTGTTACCTGCTTCATACGTTGACACAAACATACATTTTTTGCATAACTTTACATTAAATAATCTAAAATACCATGGTGATACTCAGTCCGTTTTGCTCATTTAATCAATCAATTTCTAGCTTTATTGTCCATAAAATTTAATGAGACTGAGATTTATCTTTGACATCTGGCTCATACATACAAAACAACACAAGTTAAAAATGCCATAAAACTTGAAAAAGCTTTGCTAACCCAATAAAACCAATTCTAAAATACATTAAAAACATCCCAGCAGTCAACAGTTTGTCATGTGAGGCTACGTTTAAATGGAACCCTATGAAGGACACACTGCAGAGGGAACAAATGACTTTTTGTTCCCATTTTTCTTTACCAGAGGAACCAGCAGTGTTCTGCCAGATGGACCAACCTGAATAATGGTTGCAGTGGATGAGTTGGCTCATTGTAAACCTGGATTGCCTTTTTTTCCAGAACCTGACTGTACAGGTCTGTACGTGTCATTTGTTGATGACCCATGATTTTAATATCTTGTTTGACCACCTGGGACAACTTGTTCCTGTCTCTGGCTAGGAGGTTCCCAGACCATGAGACAATATTAAAGGAAACAACACTTTCAACCAGTGACCTGTACACCAACTGCAAAGTATTTTTTGCTAGCATTGAAGATCCTTAGCTTCTACAGAAGGTGGAGACGCTGTCTGGCTTTTTTGTAAATATAGTCATTGTTGGTCTGAAAGGACAACTTGTTATCAATTATAGTTCTGAGGTATTTAAATTCTGTCACCTGCTCTACTTCCTGCCCTTTTATAACAGAAGGTCTGAATACTGGTCTGGTGCTGGCTGCTCCCCATCTACCTCCCAGACAAAGCTGCTTGGTTTTACTGATGTTAAGGTCCAGAAAACTGTCATCAAACCAGGCAGAGCTGATCTAGGAGCTGGGAGTAGGAGGGACTATTGCCTTTCAGACCAGCAACTAGGGCCATATCAGCAGCACACTTGATTAATGTGAAGTCTTTGTTGTTATGTTGCAACTTATTTATGTATAAAGATAATAAAAGTGGTGATAGCACACAACCCTGTGGAACACCAGTGTTCAAAACCCTACAGTCAGATAGTGTTATCAGCACTCATTGGGGTCTTCCTCTGAAAAACACTGTAATCCACAACACAAGATGGCTGCTGACATTTAGATCACATAGGTGTTTTAAAAGAATATGTGGCTGAACCGTATTAAAAGCTGATGAAAAGTCCATGATAACATGTGAACATTTGTCTTTGGGTTGTCTAAATGATTATGGACCTTGTTGAGGAGGGAGAGAGGGGCATCCTCCACCCCTCGGTTAGTCCTATAGGCAAACCGCATGGGGTCCATATGTTCAGCTGTAAAAGACATTAGTCCCCTTCTCACTAGGCGCTCCATACATTTGCACAAAAAATGTAATGGCAGTTGGTCTAAAGTGATTATTGCAGGTTAATGGATAAAGTTACTTATCACATTCATGCCGATTAGTTTCTATTTCAGATGTTGATTAGTTTCTATTTCAGCCTTATGTACATGTACAGTTCATGAAGGTGAATACTTTCATAAACATGAATATTTACTTTGTGAGTGATTTAGTTTTATTTCCCATTTAAATCTTCTGATCAATCATGCAGTCGTGTTTAGTTACGACTTGATGACGACGAACCAGACATGAATCAAAACCAAACACACAAAAACCAACAAACCATTTTTGTGAGAAAGCTGTGATGCAGTAAAAGCACTTGGGAGAAGCTAAACTTCTATTTATTTTTTTTTAAATTAATTCATTCATTAATTCATTTAAAAGAGACGAAACAAATTCATAAAAATAAAAAAATGAATGAAAAGTGTGCAGAAAGAAGAAGAAAATTCTTATATCTACCCCTTATTTAAAAAAATATAAAACAACTAGAAACAAACGTAATTAGATGATAATGCTAAAAAAAAAAAAAGCTATTAAAATGTATGCTCAGTGTCTGCAAAACAGTATTTTTCCTTGTTGTTAGACAGAAAAACCTTTGATTCATTGGACATAATAGAAATATTACCTAAACCAGTGGCTCCCAAACTTTTATCTGCTGGGATTTTGATTTATAAGAAAATTTCCCCACCCTCACTCTGCACGGCACACACTTTTTTTTTTTTTTTACTCCATTGCAGTTTATTTCACACCAACTTTTTTTTGAACAGTTGAACTAATACAAGTAGACTGCAATAAATTACAGCTTGCAATATGAACTACAACCTCTTTTAAATATTAAAATACCATCCATCCATCCATCCATTATCTTTACCCACTTATTCCATTTTGAGTCACGGGGGTCTCCGGTGCCCATATCCAGCAATCACTGTGTGAGAGGCGGAGCACACCCTGGACAGGTCTCCAGTCCATCACAGGGACACACAGAGACAAACGAGACAAACAACCATTCTCTCGTTCTCTCTCACCTAGAGACAATTTAGAGTTACCAGTCAGTCTAACATGCATGTTTTTGGTCTGTGGGAGGAAACTGGAGTACCTGGAGAAAACACACGCATGCACAGAGAGAACATGCAAACTCCACCCAGAAAGGCCCCCGGACCAGGATTTGAACCAGCAACCTTCTTGCTGAGCGGTTGCAACTCTACCAGTTGTGCCACTGTGCTGCCCCAAATATTCAATTCAGTTCAGTTTATTTATATAGCACCAAGTCACAACAGAAGTAATCTCAGGGACTGAACAGAAACATTCATATATAAAAATAATAATTTAACATTTATCTGAGGAGCAGCTTTGACTTTAACTCCATCACTGAACTCTCATCTTGAACAAGCATGAAGGCAACAGTGGAAAGAAAAACTCCCTCATGATGAAAAAACCTTTAGCAGAACCAGGATCAGGACAAGCGGTCATCTGCTTCAACTGGCTGGGTTTGAGAGGAACAGATACACAATGGCAGGTCAAGAATCATGTTAAGATAGAAATAGTATCAAATGAAAACTATTTAATTTTAACAATTCATTTAAGGAAATTAGGTCAATTTGTCCTCTAGTAGTCTAAGTCTATAGCAGCATAACAAGCCAACCCTAACTATAGGATTTATCAAAAAGGAAAGTCTTAAGCCCCGTCTTAAACTGGATAATGTGTCAGCCTCCTGGACAGAAACTGGAAGTTGGTTCCACAAGAGAGGAGCCTGAGAACTGGAAGATCTTCCTCCCATTCTGCTTTTGGAAACTCTAGGAAGTAGGAACCACAAGTAAACCTGCAGTCTGAGAGCGAAGTGCTCTGTTAGGAAAATATGGAACAATAAGATCTGTAATATAAGATGGAGCTAGGTTGTTGAGAGCTTTGTAGGTTAGAAGTAAGATTTTGAATTCTATTCTGGATTTGACAGGGAGCCAATGGAGAGAAGCTAAAACTGGAGTCAGGTCATCTGGACAGTTTCTTTTTTTTTTGCTGAGATGTTTTGTTCTTCTTCCAAAGGACTTCTTCAATCTGAGGAGATACCAAACAAACTGATTTCCACGAACAGCATACTCCATCGTGGAACAAAACAGTTTGCTGGTGTTAAGATGGCCTCCAGGGCCCACCTGTCCACTCCTCTGAGGCAGCCATGCCAGAGTGGTTTAAACACCAAAGTTCATGCTCAGTAATCCAGGTAAAAATCCAACAATGTTCAGTCAGGTCCAAAAACCCATCCAAACAAAAGAAGAATCTGTCTAGAGGACCTGATTTAACCTTGTTAGATCAGTCATGGGTAGAGAGGCTCAGAAAAAGTAGCGGGCCTTCTTTCAAAACTGTATTTTTGGTTGTCGAGTCCACATATAATGTTTTTGGTTTTTACGTACTTCATTTCAACCCCTGAACTGTAGTTAAGTTCTCAGAACGTTTGAGTACAACACCAGTTCAGCCATGAAGCCTCAGATGCGTCAGCCACATGTAACATCTGCTCGTCAGGAGAAACTACTAAACTTTGTTCACTTACAAAATGTATATAACTTATTGATTTCATGGAAATGAATAAAGATTTTGCATAAAAACAAGTGCTTACCAATAATGTTCTTTTTTTAAGGTCTCTGAACCTGTGACCTTTCATTTTTTTCCAGGTTCGCATTAAAGACTCTGTCAGTGAAGCATCCATAAGTGACATAGCATCTCTGATCAAGAGTCGATACACTGAGCAGTCAGGTAATGGGTCAACTGAAATTACAGCAATGTCAAAAAAGCATGAGATGCTTAAAATGGAGGAATCACTCTGCCTGTCTTCACAATCCTCCCACAGGGATTGTGTATGTTTTTTCTCAGAAAGATGCTGAGCTAGTGGCATCTGAACTCCAGAAAAAAGACATCTTAGCATATCCCTACCATGCTAACATGGACCCTGAGGACAAGTCCCGAATTCACCGTAAATGGACCTCCAACAAAATCCAGGTACTGGCTTAAAGACACACAGGTCATTCTGGTGCAGGTTCAGCAAACATTTAGGTCCACGTAGTCCAGTGTTTCCCCTACCATTATACAAGTGGTGCCCACCCTGTTAACAGAACCAAGCGCCCCGCCTACCAAACTGAACTGTGCGCACCCCCACTCATCGGCACCACTGGCGTAATGCTGTTAGCGATGTACAATACAGGCGCGGTAGATAAAAAGTTTAAGGCAGCGCTCACGCTGCCTCTTTCCTCATGCTGAACACACACACCCCACCCACCCACCCCCGCTCAAAAACTGCAAACTGTGCGCAGCTCATATGTCTCTTTCCCCCCGCAGCCCACATCGACAAGTATCACGGACGAGATGAGCGCCCCGCCATGGCACATGGCAAGTTATCTACGGAAAACACTGCTGTCCTTTAGTTTTAGTGAAAGGAAACTTCCTTTGATCAAAGATGATGATCCCACATGAACTTTTTATTATGAACTTAATAAGTCTTAAAGAAATAAGTCTTATTTTGTGCCCAAAGTCTTGTTTCATCAGATCAAAACTGAACAATATTTATTTTACAATAAAATACCAGAAAATATAATGTGTTGGCAGATTGAGTACTTTTGGTTGATTCGCTGAATAAATTCTTTCTTTATAAACCAGCTGCTCAGGTACAGTGGTGCTTGAAAGTTTGTGAACCCTTTATAATTTGTTATATTTCTTCATGAATATCATTCAACCTTTATTTAGACAGGTAAATCCCATTGAGCCTTGAGGACTCATTTACAAGAGAGACCTGATTTCAACAAAGAAAGATGACAACAATGGACAACAGCAACAACAATAAACAGTTATAAAAAAGCATACTACAGTTTTTTTTTTTGTTTGTTTTTTAACAAATAGGATGGCTAAAAGGAAAAGGTAACAAAAAAACAACAAAAAAAAAAAAACAGCTAGATTCCAAGACAAATGTAGAAAACTAAAAACAGGAACATGTCAGCATTGGACCCTGCCAGGTGTCCAATATATGACCTAAAACATCATCAAATGTTCACACAAGTCCTAAAAGTAGATATAGAAAACCAGTTAAACTAATGAGACAAAATATTTTACCTGATCATTTATTTATTGAGGAAAATGATCCAATAATACAGATTTGTCAGTGGCAAAATATGTGAACCTTTGCTTTCAGTATCTGGTGAACAGATGGACTAAGAAAAGCCTGACTTTTTGAAAGCCTCATAGCTTCAACTTTGAGCTGTTTTAATTTGATCTCCTTCTTGGCTTCAGTTTCCAACTGGCAAATCTGGAGTTTGAAATCAAGCTCTGCCTTACACACCATTTCCCTTGCTTGTGCTTCTAATTGAAGGCAAGCTAAACAAACCGAGTCTGACATTACCATTAGATCCACTCAAGCTTGGAGACACAGGATTGAAGCGAGGTAAAGTTGCACGGGGCACTTCAGGTCCCACCAACACCCTTCGGGGAGTTGCTATGGCTGTAATTTTTTCTTCTTCCAAGAGGGGAACCCAGCAGGTGATTGCACACCAAGTGAAATATTTCAGGTCTTTAATTGTTTTAATACTGATGATTATGGCATACAGCTCATGAAAACCCAAAATGCCTGTCCCAAAAAATTAGCATATTTCATCCCACCAATGAAAGACAAGTGTTTTTAATACAAAAAACGCCAACCTTCAAATAATCATGTTCAGTTATGCACTCAATACTTGGTCAGGAATCCTTTTGCATGAATGACTGCTTCAATGCGGCGTGGCATCGAGGCAATCAGCCTGTGGCACTGCTGAGGTGTTATGGAGGCCCAGGA